CATGTTTCCTATCTCTCGCCTGCCGTTCTTCGTCACACGAGGTAAGGAATTCGGCGCCGTGATCATAACGCAATAAACCCTTAGGTGGTGTTCTTGCATAAGAACATCCATGCATCTTTCTGAGAGCGTGTCTAACAACGCGGTGTCTAGCTGCCTAGGCGGAGCACCGGACGTTGCTGGAGCTGTTGAAGCTGCCGACGACTCCAGTACCACTATTGGTAGGTGCTCATCATTGACGAAGACGTCAAACGCGGAGCAATCAAATACTTGCTTATTCAAGTTTCGAAGGATGCTGACAATAATGTGTTGCACGAAGAAGTATCGATGCTCAGCAACCTCGTGGCCATGCTCAACCCACTCGACCTTCTGTCGGATACGGTCTTCGTATAATCCAAGCACGAAAATTTTGCCTTCAATCACGGTCCCAAGAAGACCAGTCCTGAGAAACTCGGGCTCTACTGGTGTAGGTGTCGGGTCTCCCGGTTCGAATTTGTAGGGTCTGGCATGAAATATCTGCTCTGTATGCTTGGGCAACGCCCAAAACCCTCCGGATAAAGAAGGAGAATCCACCCAAATCTCTCCTATAGAATGTGGAGAGGTCAAAAGTCCCGTTTCAGGGTCAACAACAGCGAGAGTGGCATCGGGAATCGGATATCCAAAGGCGCCAACCCGGACGGTGCCTGGTTCGGTATTCGCTTTCTTCCGAGCGTCTTCTCCTATAGCTACTACGATAACTTCGTTCGTCTTGAGCGCTTCTCGGTCCAGCAGAACTTCACCGAGATCATTCTTAGCGTCGTGCTCTTTCGTAGTCGTTGTACCGCCTCCGAGAAGACTTCCAAACCCATTGGATGGCGCTGGTTTGTCCTTCTCCCTTTCCTTATCCTTCTCCTTTTCCTTCTCCTTTTCTTTGTCCTTCTCTTCCTCCTTGTCGGTTTCCGAACCGGAATCGGCGTCTATATCTAATTTTAATGGACATCCCATGCGCTCTTCGCCACCTAACCAATCCCGGACACTTATAACCATGCCTCCGTGTTCAGGCAAACATAGCATCGGGGCAACGACTTCCCTAGCCCTAGGGTTTCGCAGAGGTCGAAGCCATCGATCGGCTAATACTTCGTGGAACTCACTATCCACCGTCAAGGTATCAATTAGACAAAGCTTGACATGCTGAAAGTTTGGTTCCATGCCCTTCTTGAAATTTCGCGTAGTCATGGGATCTTGTTGGTAATTGAAGGCAGCAGTTCTCAAGCCAGGATAGTCGGCAACCATAAGTGTAGCCTTATATTTAGTGATAAGGTGGGCATAGAGACCGGGGGCGTTTACCGCTTTATTCTCTACCCATACAGTCGTATGACCGCTATAGACATTGAGAAGGACACCCAGAATCATACCGATGCCTTGACGAGGATCAAGGTAGGATAAAAGAATCTCACTGCTGGCGCCCCCGCCGATGAGGCGTCCATTCTTATCTCTAAGGGTACGGTTGAAGGTGTCGTTGGACCCATTGGGGACGGTCTGAACTATAGCGCTTAGACAGGCCATTTGGTGCATAATAGTGCGGTGGCTAAGTACCACACCTCGAAGATCTCCTGTTGGGGCTCTAGAGAATTCAATGTATGCTAGATCAGGGACGGATAAAGGGGGTATGTCATCCTTCTTCTTCGGATGGTAGCTTCCGAATTCATTAGTTTTCCACCATTCAACTCCTTTAGGCCAGTTCAATTTCTGCGTGGTGATATCTCGCTGAAAAGATTTCAAGTTATTGTCGGTAGTTAAGGCCAAATGCGCCTGCGTAGAAGTTAAAATGAGGTTTAACTTGGGGTAGTCCTGTAAATCATTAATGGGAACTGCCACAACGCCCGCGATAAAACAGCCTAGGAGGGCGATCGCGAAGTCGATGATCTCCGAATCCCTGTAAATAAGAGCAACGCGGTCCCCACGATACAACGAACTTTTGTCTCGAATGACTTGTGCTACTTTCTCTGCTCGAGAAGCGAGCTTGTCCCAAGTAATAGATGCTATCTCCTTCCCCTTACTATCAAGCACCCAATACGCCGGAAGCTTCCCAGTAGTGCGCCCCCTATGTCTTAGCACGGCAGCAATGTTGTCGAAATTCGACATAGCTGTGTTTTCATCGTGCGGGTCGTGGATAGCAAATGGTAGTTCTCGTGGGTCGAGGGGCATCTGATACTCTAGTGCCTCAGGGGGAGGCAAATCGCTCGCAGTGAGCATGGGCGGAGCCATAGCAGCGGTAGGTGAGAAGGCATCACTGGATGAATATCTGTGTACGCCTCCGCCATATTCGCCGCCGCCGCCGCCTCCACCTCCACCACCACCGGGACCTTGGTCGTATGATTGTTGACCGGCAAAATCGGAAAAATACACCTGGGAGTCTACCATTGTGCCAGTCCGGCTGTCATAAGGGTTTGGTGGTTGGGGTCCATACCCTCCTTGGTGCTCCGGTTTAAAGGCATAGTCCCCCGAGACCATCGTCCCCGACCGCGTGGGAGAGTCAGATACCATCGTTTGAGCATAGCTAGGAACAGGGTTAAGAAATAGCGAATCACGCTGGCTCAAGGTTGGACGCTGTTCGGCTAAAGGTCCGCCTGGCCGTAATAACCCGGCTGGATGCTCGGCACCATAGGGCGGACCAGAACTGGGTATTCCGGTCGATTGGGGTCGCCAATCGACGGGGGATGTGATAGTCGAGGGGGAATACGCGTCATTTGGATCTGGATCAGCGGTGTTTAAAGCGGCATATGCTGCATCTCTATGCCCTTCGCTCGTATTAGGGGTATCATCGTCAACAGTATGTATTCGTAAGCCTCCGGTAGCATCAGCTAATGCGCCAGGGCCGAGATATTGAGAGAGTAGCTGGGTCCGTCGTTTTTGAAAGCTACAGACGAAGTGAGACGTGTTAGCACGACTAAGGATGAAAGCTGTATGCGATGGCACATCAAGAGGAAGGTCTAATGATATGTACTATAGTATTAAAGACAAAACCTTACCCCTTCGCCGTAATGTCGCCTTCCTATGCCAGAACTCGTAGTTAGTTTGCGTTCAATGGCTTCGCTTGTGAACATGTTGGGCCTCGTACCCCGCCGCTGCTGGCGGGCGGTAAGGGTATCGCGAGCCGAATAACGGGAGAAGTAAATGACACCAGCGTACCTCGAGCTCTCTCTCCAATTCGTCCAACTTCTCTTGCAGGTCCGGATTCAATTGCGCCATTTCGATTTCTCGTCGGTTAACACAGAAGGGAAGAAGCGCGCAAAGGTTGACGACCGCCTCGTCCGCCGAATCACCCGATTCAAAAGCGATTCAAAAAAACCGAGAGGCCCGTGACGTCAAATTGTTTCGGGGGGAGCGATATTGATCTTTCTTCCTCTTCGACCTATCGCAACAACAAGATATACCAACCAATAATACCTCGGTCAGATATAAAAATAGGGTATCATGACAATGCAAAACAGCAGTGGACTGCGAGTTGGGCAGATATGTATTCGGGAAAGGAATCATTAAAAGGTTAAATGGGAACATTGAAACATGGGAATAATTCAACTCTCAGAAGTGTTCAGAACCCTGATGTTCTAACTGTGGCTTCCAGGTACCTAGGTACATCGTTTATACATATAGGTGGTAGGTACCTGGTATAGGTAGGTGGTATGTACGAAGTATATGTACGAAGTATATGTACGAAGTACATCTATATGAGGTGGTAAAAGTACCTAACCTAGGTATTTTTACGAGCAAACCCCAAGTTTACGCTGGCAATTGGTCGCAATTGGTTGTAATTAGGTACCTACCTAAGTTGCGAAAAGCACGCACTGGAGCAATACGAACTTTGAATTGTTCCAACCCACCAGTGCCTGAAGTAGTGGGGTACTTTACTTGACGTACCTACGCTGATGTAGGCTATCTGGGATGTCACGAGACGTCCACGTTTTTATGAGCGGAGTACGGTAAAACCTATACGCCGCAAGTAAGTACTTAACTAAAAAAAAACTAATATTTCTTTTTACTGTCAAATTTTACTTTTCTTTTCTTTCGATCACTTTGTCCCAACCATCAGAATTCGCAACCGGATTAGGTGAGGATATATTGGATACATGCAGACGACAAGCTTCTAATTGATCAACTCTGTTATTCTTGAAAAGCTTGTTGTAGCCGTGTCCGGCAACAAACCTGAACCCTGGTCTTGGACAAGAGGCGTGATACCATCTGTCGGTATCCCTAGAAGAGACATGACCGAGGACAACTACTAACAACTCTTTTTTAATGGTTCTCGCTACCTTTGTTAATGGTGGAATATTTTATTGTCATTAAATGAACCTGTCTCCTGTTTGACCACCTAATACTAGATGTTGGGTAATCGGTATAACTGCCACAATGCCACCAAGTAAGTTTATCTTCTTATTCAAGCACCTCTACCTTATCCCCTGATGAAATCAACGCATTCACAGACCTGTTCTGAAATTCCCTGTTGAGAAAATGCATTGAGCTCTACTGATTATACAAGTCTTCTTGGCGCAACACTTCTATTTTGGTGTACGCAACCCTTGCTAACCGATAACATAGGGATCTAAAATGGTTATCATGTCGTGAACCCATCTAACCCCCCCATCAATGTAGCTTCCCTTCAGATCTTGTTTCCCCTTGTGCCTATACACATTGTCTCTTTGTAATGGACAATGCTGTTGTTATAAAAGGTTCTTTCTAGGGAAGCAACTTGTTTATTATTCCTGAACAATGTTGTACACGAACAATGCTCCTCCCGGGCCGCGATGAGAAAAAGGATTTGTTACTTGAATAGTATATAGTTACGTAGATCCTATCAACACGAGTAGAAATTTTTTCCATAGAGCAACCCTGTTGGTTTTACCCCTGATCGACTTTTCATAGCGGTTTCTTGCCTTGGCGGTTTAGCAGAGCTGACTACCTCGTCTACAAGCTGCGTCGAACTCAGGTCTCGCACTATTAGGTGACATACTACCCAACCAATGATGGGTTACGAGCCGAATCAGTACCCCGGGATGGAACCTCCGGATATGTACGATGATACGACAAGCATTCTTCAAAATATCGATTTTGATAATCCAGTATTGACAGGTACACAATTCGATACACCACCAGATTTCCTTGAACCGCCTGTCATTTCACCTGCCGGTCCATATAATACTCATTCTTCTCAGTTCCAGAACTTCGACCCGACTCTTGCAGGGCCAACCCACGCAGTGCCGGAACCAATTCACTCAGTCTTTCAAGAGTCCATAGACCCGGGTCTTCTAAGTAATACCGGTATTGTTGCGCTTCCTACCGTCCAGCAAGAACCGTACGGTACGTATAATTCTATGAACATCAATGGCCCCGTCGCCCACCACCATGATTTCACAGCTACCTCCCCAAGCTATCCTATCGACTACACTCAGTTTCATCATCCTCCACAGCTTTCACCGCCTCCTCAACCTTATCAACCTTATGAACAATATCAACCTCAGTATCCGCAGCCACTTAGTTCGTATCCAACCCCTCGTCGAATCAGCGATGTGAGTGCATTAAGCTCGGAGTCCAGCAACAGCCAACTAGAGAAGGGGAAAAGGGACATATTTTCACTCAGAAGGAGCAGAATACCCTCACCAGTCCTCATTCAACATGAGCCCCGCTTAAAGCGCCCCGCCAAGGGGCCCAATGGATTATCGCTAAGAACCGGCCAGATACCTCGAGTCACAAGGAAGAAAGACCCAAAGCCGGACCCTCGGGAGTGGTACGGTTCTCCACCACCTCCCCCGGAGAGCTGGGGTCCAAGGGATAAAAATGGTCGTCCTGTCTTTAAGTACACGGAATGCGGAGAGCTTGAGAGGGGCAAAACGTATTCGGAACACGAACTGCGTCGATATCTCTACGGGCCCAAAAAAGATGACGATTTTCCGCCACCGAGACGATTACTAGGGGTACCAGAGGTAGAAGACAAGATCCGCCAGGGTCTTACGTTGTGGATTGGTTGGGTCGCTCCTCAGTCCAATGACAGATATCCCTACGGGTCTCAATCTCAGAAGTGCCGATTTGCCGGCTGTGAAGACGCTCAGAATACCATCAGGACGGGATTTCCGCGTATTATCTTTGATGAGCGGATGAATGATGACGGTGAGGTCATTGATCCCTACCACAATGCCGGGTATATGCATTTATATTGTTTCGAGCAGCATTTCGATCTCGTCGATGCCATGATTCACCTCGACGTCCGCCCCGACGAGAGGAACTTCAGGCATGAGGATAACATCTTCAAGTTGACAAGGAATTACTCTGATATGCGGGCCGTAGTCGACTCGTGGTGGCACGATGAATATCCAAAGTTCGTCGAAGCCAGATCAAAGGGGAAGAGGCGAGACCATCGTAATTATAAGAATTCCCTGAGCTACCGGCTTATCCTCCATGTACTTGATAACAGCACCGATGCTCGTCTTAAACTACGCGAAGAGAGGGGCGGTGCTAATATGACAAAGCACAAAGGAGACATCTCTAAACAGAAGTTCTTGAGAGAATGTAGGAGCTTTGGGTTACTGGACGATAATGACGACCCAGTCCCCGGTGCCAGTAAACGACTACCAGAGCTTATCCTTCAAAAACGCCGAGAAAAGAAATTAGCTAGATTAGCCGGACGTAAAGGCACTCCAGCACCAGAAGAATATCTGCCCTCACCAGCATCAACAACTTACCAAAGCGCCATGGAACATGAACAGGACGCTACTCACGCATCGCCTTCTAGTATACACTCGCCCATTAATTCCTACTCTCCAATGCCGCGTTCGTGTTCGCCGTATGAATATTTGTCTCCAGAGCCAGTACCGCCCCCTTACCATCAACAACCAATCTCGAGCCCTGTAACCTCGAGTCTCGTAGGTAATACAGCACGAAAGCGAGGCAGGGATGAAGTATTGATGGAAGATCAAAATATCGGTATACCCTACGATCCTGTTCGGGATGGCCCAAATAAGAGGCCACGAACAAGCCCTAGCCCAGCACCACCTACAACGCCTCAGTCTGCGTATACCCAAGTACCAGATCACACCGGGCAGCAGGACGAGGTCGACAACGGGATTGGTAGTGTACTGGCGCCAACGGAGGCAAGCCATTTTCCAACTCCGCCCCCTACTGAGCCTCTTGGTTTGAACCCGGATTCCGATTTTAATATCCATAATACGAGCTCCGCTGACGTGGATATTTTTACAGAGGGCGCGGAAGATAACCACGACAAAGGCGAAAATGAAGCTGAAATGGCTGAGAGCGATTCGGCCGAGGCTTCGGACAATATGGAACTTGACGAATGTGATGATCTTTTTGGCGGCCCTGCTGACGAAGCCGGACTCGCCGACTTCTTCACCTCCTGAGACAGTTTGTCATTGGACACAGCTGCCCTGGAGGCAGAGACCTGTCCAACAAATAAGCTGTCCACGTCGCTAAACATCTTCAACTTGCGGTAAGTCTGAAATCATGGAAAAGAAAATAGGCATTCCAGGGCATAGGGGTGGCATTTGACCTTAGGGCACGCATAGGGTTGGGCGCTTCGTGTGTAAGTTGTCCTTTCGTGTTGCCACGTCTCTGATGAGGAAAGTTTCCATGGGCAGACTATACAAGAAAACGTCCATATAACGAAAGCAAAAAAATAAATAAATGTATTTCTACGACCGATGTCTTTCAGCAACCGATTTTGTTTTATGTTTTTTTGTTTTTTGTTTTTTGTTTTTTTTTTTTTTAAAAAAAAAGCGGCACTGTTTACCCACCCACGATAAATTTTCTATCTGTCATATATTATATATAGCGTGTAAGAACGCATACTCTGTACTTTAAGGTATTAAATGGTCAGGTTATTAGATACTTAATATTATCTACTTCTGGATATTCAATCTAATGTACCATGTTGAGAGTCGGTGATTAGAGACATCGTAGTAGAGAACCCTGGATCAGATGCCCCTGTTTGGGGGGTTCTTTGTATATATAACCTAGGTACCTAAGGTAACTATGTATATAGTTCCGAGTCTTGTACGGGTAACTGTTGACTCAGAGATTATGTGTACCTATGAATTGAACATCAGCTTGGACGGATCAAACTGGGTGAGTGCGTAGTTTGAATATTAAGTCCATAGTACAATACATGCCTAGGCTATAAGTGAATGGCCAGCTGTTAGCCCCGTCTTACCGCGCAAACAACGTCATTACGTCGAGTTATTATTAGCGAGAACCACAATAGTCGCATAACATTCACTGTCAACATACTAAGAGGTAAATATTAGCTATCATCCTAATGCGGCTTGTATTAAACGTAAATAAGATGTCGAATATGATATTGATGTTAAACAAAAAAGAAAAAAAAAGAGACACGGTACCGAAACTGAGGGTAGGATACCTAGGATCGGAAAAGGAAGGCCCAATTTTAAATCTGTGACAAGAAAAAACAAGTTGTGGTTAGCAAATAAAAATGCAGGATGAATGATGGGATTCGCATGTGTAGAGTCGTAGAGACCGGAGTGACCGAGAGGAACACATATCAAGGTGGTACCGCTCCGTTGTTATCAGGTCCTAGTAGGTCTTAGCCGGCCCCTAGGTAAACGCTAAAACGAACCCAAGAACCGAACCTTTCATTGTGCCTGCCCATACCGGAACTCGATTTGCGCTGCAGTGGAGTTTCCGATTAGCTGTGCCGCCTTCTGTTCACTGTGCGCTAAAACTGAATTGGATAAAAGCTACCTTAGGTTAGGTAGCTATAACTTAGGGGCTTGCACACATCACTTAACCTTAAAGGCAGAAGATCCCAGTTCCCCAGATTTCCATAATTAATTGTCCACATGGGGGATATATCTTAAACTGCCTCCGGTCAACATTTATTGTTTTTTTAGTTTCTTGTTTTCTTTTATTGTTACGGAGAAGCCGCTTGAAGAATTACAAAGGTCAGACAATACCGAGAAAAGAAAACAAAAACAGGGGCGAGAGAGCGGCGCTGGAATTCAAAGTCACGTGTAGGATACCTACGGTACGGAAGGGTTTAGGTGGTAGATAACCTACCAAAAGAACCGATGCCGTAGCGCGCTCCTTTTGGGGATTTGGGGACGAATAACGGCCTCAACGCTGTGCATCGCCCAAACCATCTTCTCCAAACACTCTTTCGCATATCCAAGGGAGGGAATTAATCGCTGGAGGAACATTCTTCGCCCCGGCGAGCGCAACCAACGACTCTTTACGCATCCGTGTCACTAAACGAGACGAGACGAAACGAGACAAAAGGTGCTACCGAACCGTCGCAATTGCTACCAATTGCCGCAAGAGAATGGCTAGACAGGACGGGATGAGAAATGCAAGTCAGCCTGCCTTGCAGGTCATTGTGCTGGTAAGTAAAGTCGTTTTATCTCAATCTTAGTTTCATGAAATGCAACCTGTTTGGAACGACGACCTTTGATTCGCTAGCGGCACCAGCTGCTTACAACGCGACCCTCGGCCACTTGGATGCGAGCATGCGTTGCGCATATGAAATATCCAATCTCAGACCGAGATTTTTGAAGTCGAATGAGATGCTTGCTGTACTGGCGCATGGGTTGGATTAATCGATATCGATATGGGGGAACTTAATTGGTTCAACAACCAAATCGCTACCGACCCGACGAAACAAGATACTCTGAGGAAATTTGGTCGCAAAAGGGTTTATTTATTGGATTCCATATCACCACTTAAACAAATGGTTCTCCGGTCGCCTTGGTTCCGAGAATTCTCTGGAAGAAGACAAAGCTTACTATCCTTCTGCCAGACTCGACGGCCGGTAAAAAACAAATACGAAAGAGCAAACACCTCAAAATCCAAGTTCGAGCCAACCCCAGCTATCGGATATAAGAAAATAGCAACGGTCACGTGTATTCGCTTGTCGATAACTTCTTTTTATCGGTTTCAACCATCTCTCCGGAAACAGTGACGTCACGGGAACCGTCTCCATCTATCCTGTACTTCGGGACCTTCATTTGATGTACACCGATCCGGTCCTTGTCCCGGATTATGCGGTGCAACAGTGACAGCTGACATTTTCTTCTCACACCGAGGATCATAATTGGGACTAATATTGTGCTATTATGAATTATCAGTATCAGTATGATGTAGATACTAACATTCAATTCTCACCCTAGGGCGCAAGCGGTGGGCCACGGGAGGACAATGTCACCGCTTTCCTTGTACGGTCTGTTAGAACTAACTGGAGCCGGGGATCGTTGGTTGCTCTCGATGGTGGTGTTCACCTTTCCGCCATTACTCGAATTCTCGAGGAAACACAGCCGCCAGGCCTCGGCGCTGATATTGCATTACCACATGTCTTAAGGACAGGACCCTTTGCGGGCATGGAAATCCACTCTACCTCTGCGTCGGCCAACGCACTTGATGTATCAAGAAATCTTGTCGACTCGTACCTAATTACTCACCCTCACCTCGACCATATCAGCGGATTCGTTCTCAACACCGCAGCTCCTCCAGGAACAAAACCAAAACGCATCGCCGGTCTACCCTCCACCATCTCTGCGTTCAAGAACCATATCTTCAACAATGTTATCTGGCCAAATTTATCTGATGAAAATAATGGCGCCGGCCTCGTAACTTACATGCGCTTAGTCGAGGGAGGTAGTCCGGCTCTTGGCGACGGAGCTGATAGAGGCTACCTAGAAGTTAGCGACGGTCTCGCAGTTAAAGTCTTCAGCGTCAGCCACGGACATTGCATGGAAAGACATGCCCATAGGGGTTCAACGTCTTCTCGCTATGGGAGTACAGATTCGGGGCCGTCAGTTATCTCCAGGAACGGTGTCAGAACTCAATCCACGGGCGAAACCGAACGGGAAACGGAATGCGTCTACGACTCGAGTGTATACTTCATCCGGGACGCACCTAGCGGTCGCGAAGTCCTGATGTGCGGCGATGTGGAGCCCGATAGCATCTCGTTGTCTCCAAGGAACATCGGGGTCTGGCTTGAGGCGGCTCCGAAGATCGCTTCCGGACACCTTGCAGCAATATTTATCGAATGTTCGTACGATGACAGCCGGACGGACGACAGACTCTACGGCCATTTAGCTCCGCGCTACATCATCCAAGAGATGCAGACACTCGCCACAGAAGTCGAGAGAATTCGCCAGATCCCAGCTAGGCTCGAGCCGACTAAGAAACGCAAGAGGGAGCTGGAAGAATCAGGCAGGAGAGTTAGTAGAATCATTGCGAGGGCTACTGTTGGACCCGTGCCAGTAGACGACAGGCCTGTGTCGCCGAAATCGATGCGACCACCAAAGATCATAAGGTCTGAGTCCAGTGAAAATATCGTTTCTTCGCACCTCACGGTCCCGACTGCCGAGATGAATTTGAAGGATGCCAGTATACTGCGAACTCCGAAGATGCCCAATGCTCTCCGAGGGCTAACGGTAGTTATTATTCATACCAAGGAAAACTTCGACGGCAAAGAACCGGCAGGGGAGAAGATATTGAGAGAGATACTCGCACACGAAGAGAAGGCCAAGCTAGGTTGCCAATATATCCTCTCGCGAAGAGGGCAGAGCCTCACTTTCTAATTTTCCTTTGGTTCCATATACGGCTGGGGAGGTGTTGGTAAATATAGCACTAGGTGTGCCAGCATGCAGTGTTTGCTGGACCGGGTTATACCCTTTTTTTTTCCCTTTAAGATAAGTTCGTTGATTTTTTCAACATCTGGGCTAGAAATGTGGCACTGGCGTTTTAGGGGTAAGCTGTCTTCGGGATTAAGGCAGGCTTTACGGTTTCGGTTGGCGTCAGGGAGACTAGATACCTAGATGAGGAGTTAAAGGGCGGTCATGGTATAAGATGATGTGTATGAATTATATGAATTGAACGAGACGGACGATATTTTCGCTAAAAGATATTTGCTACTTTTTCATTCTACCATGACTATTTGAAGACTATGGTTATACCGCTCCGCGGTTTGATAAATTAGATACCATTATAGGAAGAAGCGCATACTACGTCCTAGGTTAGTGGGTTATAGTTTAGGGATATCCAGTGTGAAATTTCCCTCGTTCCGATTCAACTTCGGGAACACTTTTAGTCCCCGACTATCATTTAACCCCGGTCCTCCCCCGAGTTCCCCGATTCAGAAACGTTCCGAGTAAGTGTTCCGAAACATTACATCATCACCCAACCTAATAACAGAATACTCTTTTCCGAAAGGGACTAAGGGTCTTCTAAAAACTTACAAATGAAAACAAACATAAATTAATAAACACGGTCATTTATAATCTTTACAGCGAATCAAGGAATCCTACAAGCGCTAAAAAGTGGGAAGCCACCTCCGTTGTTCCGCGCCGTCCCCTCCGGTAATCGGTTATTCCGCTACGCTGCATCTCGGCGATTATCACCCGCGTGTAGCCGCCTTGCTGTATTATAACTTGCTCCCCATGCCGCCTCCTCACTGCCGGAACTCTTTCTTGGCAATCCGCACACTGCGAGGAAGGCCAACGCCACGCTTTGTACTACCCATAACTTTTTCACTAGATTCAGTATTCGCCGCCAACATGTCCGTCTCAACCCAACAGGAGGCCGCTATTAAGCGGAACCCGCACCCGGACTTCAAGAAAGTCGAGGCGTCGCGCCCGGACTGGGATAAGGATTCTCAGTTCCGGTATACTAAAACCGCCGCGCCTGACTGGACTATCGGCTCCGGCGCTAATAGCCAGCGCGCCGCAGAGGCAGACGACAAGAAACACGTGTGCATCGACCCGTACGAGGCAGGGCGGCCCCTCACCTTCAACTACAAGCTTCTCATCAGCGGCATCGTTCCACGACCCATCGGATTCGTATCGTCGCAAGCCGCGGACGGCAGCGCGCGCAACCTAGCGCCCTTCTCGTACTTCAACATGGTGAGCCACGACCCGCCGCTCTTCGCGCTCGGCGTCGCCGCCTCGCTCGCCGCGCCAAAGGATACCCTGCGCAACATCCTCGACAGCCGCGAGTGCGTGGTGAGCATCATCGGCGAGGACTTCCTGGAGGCGGCGAACGCGACCAGCGTGGACGCGCCGTACGGCGCCAGCGAGTGGGACGTCAGCGGCCTGACGCCCGTGTACGACACGCGCGACGTCAAGGCCGCGAGGGTGCGGGAGGCCGTGTTCAGCGTCGAGTGCAAGCTCGAGAGCGTGCGCGAGTTCGAGAGCCGGGCCGAGCCGGGGAAGAAGACGGGGTGTCTGGTTATTCTCGAGGGCACGCGGTTCTGGGTCCGCGAGGACGCGGTTAATGAGGAGCGCAACTTGATCGATCCCGCGGTGCTCAGGCCGGTGAGCCGGCTGGGGGGGATCACGTACGCCCGTGTTACGGAGGCGGTGGAGATTCCGAGGCCGAGGTTTAGGGAGGATTTCGGCGGGGCGGAGGGGTTGGAGAAGTTGAAGGGGAAGGGGGACGAAGACAAAGCTAACTAGTACTTTAACCCCCCCCCCCCCCCCCCCCCCCCCCGCAAAAAAGAAAAAACAAAAAAAAAAAAAAAAAAGATAAAATATTGTGTAAATGAAGGAGGTA